ATTTTTATATTGATTATATCTCTATATCTATCGTTTCTTAATTTTTTTGATCTAATTTTTTATAATTCTCCATAATCTTATCTCTGTATATTTTACTTATACTTTGATTTTTATTTTCTTAGAAAATTACTTATTTCATACTGATAGTTTTTCCGACGATAACTTTGGCATTAACATTCTTCTATCAATTATTATTTGCAATGCGATAAGCTGTCGTTTGTTCAATATAGCCAAAATGCCAGACTCTCTTGGAGCGTAACGACATGCTCTCCTCATAACAGTACCTCAGATAGACGGTTATAGATAGGTGCGCAGAATGTTTCGAGGGTGAATTTCCACCTGTTATTGTTCCTTGTTTCTGAACCTATTCATAAATTTTGAACAAAACGATCGCTCAACCTTCAGTCCCCATATGTTTAATTTAATACGATAATTTTATTATTTAAAAATTACCTATTACTTAAAATAACAAAAAATTTTACTAAAAGATTTTTGTTTCTAGGAAGTTTTTTTCGCTTAAACACGACTCGAATTAATCACAGAGATTCTTCGAGCAAAAGTGATAATAAAATGATGTATATCGATCATTCTTGATCCACTGTAGCTCGATCCTTAAGAAGGATCTCTCGTGAGTCATTCTAGATCATCGCTTACATCGCATTTATATTCAGGATCCACCATGAATCGCAATTCGGTAGATTTCTATCTCTCGATTTATTAGTTATTCTTGTTCGAGAATTTAACATTTAACGTTCAGAATCGAAACACGGATCGAAATGATCTCTCTTCGCTTAGGGTTTCCTGTTTGGACGCCGTCGCGTCGCGTCGCGTCGCGTCGCGTCGGGGCGTCGGGGCCCGCGACGTTCGCACGGAGCGATGGCGACCGCGACCACAGCCGCGAACGTACAGAGGGGGACCTGACTCACCTGCCACGACGTGTCGCGTCCGCATTTTCCGGCTCCGAATCTTTTTTCGGCTCCTTCTTCTTATCCTCTCACGCACTCAACATCCTGCTCCTTCTCTTTCTGCCTGTATTTTTTCTGCTCGTACTTTTCACACGCCGTGAAAAAAAAAAAAAAATAACTTCCCGCTCCGAGATGGGTTCTCCTCTTTCTGGTCTCCACTCTTTTACCTTCGCACCCGCGCGCGCACCAGCTTCGACCGACGACGAACGCCCGCCGAACGAGACTGCAAGCCGATGCCGCGACAGTGGCAGAGAACAGCAGAGAACACCGCCACCTTGCTCGACCTGCGTCGGCCCCTCTCCTTCACGGCATTCGAGTATTGCTGTGTAAGTTACCTGGTGACCACGGTTACCTGCCGTAACCTGCCTGTCCATTTTCCTGCGCGCCAGGTATAAACAAAGAAACAAAAGATGTGATTGAAAAATTACAAACAAAGACTTGGGAAGCAAAAATAAACATTTAAGAATTGTCAATAAGGAATTATTGGCATTAAGTAAAATTAATAAAGAACATAGCATTTTGCAAAATATTATGTATTATTAATTAAAAGGCAACGTCAGAATATTTTGTAGAGTTTCTTTAAAAACTCCGAAAGAAATTAAACAGATGAAAGCATAAGTGACACGTAATTTTTTTATATTAGTAGCAGAGTTATTAGCCCAGTATCTAACCCAATATCTAACCAATGTATCGCCAATAAATTGCTAGAAGTGTAATAGTTATTAGAAATATTGAGACGCTATTAAAATACGAATGTAAGATTATTTTTTTAATTATATGTTTTACAATTTTTTTGGAGCAAAAACCTGATCTTTATATATGTGTTTTGTATTATATCATAACATTATTGCGTGTTTATCTCTTTCTGCTTATACTAGTTCTATATTTTTGTAGTTTTTCTATACTTTTTTAAGATAGTGTAATAATGGCAATTTTATTTATACTTTTTTACTTATAGATGTTTTACAAATGACTGTACCGAATGATTTATTTTAAATACAATTGAAAAGTGATCGTAAAAATGCATTAAAAATGCGTAATAAAAATTGTTATTTTTATAATTTTGTTTTTTAAGAACATTGAATTAAAAAATTAGAAAATTAATACATCATTTTCTCTATTTTAAACTCTCTAATGATACTGTCTCATATTTTGATGAGCTTATTTTATTAATTGCCATAATAAGTAAAAATTTGGTTTTATTCAAGGAAATAGTGGAAGAGATTATTTTGATATTTTATTTGATTTGTATTATAAACATACACGAGGACATATAGTATAAGAAATGTACATATAAGGGCAAATAGACAGGATATTTCTAAGTCGATCTGTTTTTTATTCCTGCACTAAACTATACACAAGAACTTTTTTTTTCTCACTTTAAGTAAATGTCAAACATGTACCTATTTCACTTTAAGTTGTACTTTTTGCAGAGTCAGCATTTTGGCTTTTTTTGTTTTCAACGCCTAATATGTATTTCTTTTAAATGTAAAAGTTTTTGGGCATTTCAAGCAATGCGAACAGACTTTTATTCTCAACTGTTTTGGTTGTTCCGAAAACAAATAATGAAGATTTTACCTTATTTAATCACTGTTTTTATCAGAAATTTACAAATTTAAAAGGAATATTTTTAATGATAAAACGCAGTGATTAAGGAAAGTAAATTTTATTAATTTATCAAGCAAAACAATTGGTAATGTTAATTCGTTCTACAATAATAATTGTCACCTTGGAGTTCTTTTGGTGGTTACGAAAATTTGCCCATGATTGATAACGGTCATTAAATAATAATATTTCAACGGTGCCCTCAAACATTACCGCTAGTACATTCATTTTTGAGTTGGATATGTACACCGACAATGGCTGCTATGCGTTCAGCAGAGAAAACTATAATCAGTTAGCGTTTAATGATTCTTTAATATTGATTGGTTCTTGTCTTTAGTTCTTCACTGGATCTATAAGTGTAGGAATCAATTATATTAAAGAATCACTAAGTGCTAACTGATTAATTTTCTCTGCTGAACGCAGCCAATATTATTAAAGATCGACATTCTTACGAGAATTCGCATCCCTGTTAAACTTGTTCACTAAAATTAAAAATTTATGTGATTAAAAGTAACAATTAAACTAATAATATAGTACTAATTTTATGATTTATTAATTTCGTAGCATGTATACTTATTTAAAACTCAATAATACTCGATTTTTATTAAAAACTGTGATTTTAACGTTATCGAGTTTGACTATCAATTAATAGAGATAACTGTAGAGAAAAAAAATTGTAATTTTGCGGCAATATATAAGATATTATAGCATTACAAATATGCATACTTGGTTATGAAACATTTATATAATAAAAAATCATAAATTTAATAATATATTGTCCACAAATATATATATTAATAGATCGCAGATTTATATCAATTGTCGATAATGTCAGTCGTTTTTCAATCTACGTAGTACTCAATTCGAAAATGGATGTACTGGCAGTAGTGTGCAGCTAAGGGATTTCGAAGATCCCACGAAAGAGACCCTGGGGTGGTCTCTCTCAGGAGTCTCAAGTTTTTTTCTGCCGTTAGGCACAGCTAGGTGAGCTAGGCATTGGTATTTAGCAAAACTGGTTCCTGTGGCTCCTGCTGCGGCCGCCTGAGTCGCCGTTGTGAAAATGTCAGCTCGATGGTGGTGATTCACGCTCGGTCTGTCTCGCGCGAGTGTCAAACGGCTAGACGTCCGTCCTGTGCTGCAATTGACCACGTTCTGCTCGGGCTGCGAGCAGGTGAGTGCTAATACATGTATGTTTCTTACCATTGCTTACGCGGTTCGCACCGCACCGGATCGCCGATGACGGCACGGCGCCCGTTAACGACCGAGCGAGAGTCAGGTTAAGTGCACTTGAAGCGATATATCCTATCCTCGTCGTCCTCGTCCATACTTGTCCTCGTGATCCCTCGTGTCCCGATATCAATCCCAATTAGTCATAAATTAGTGGTTCTGCTGGCATGCCGATCGTGGCAGTAGCGGTTTCACGCTCGCCAAGTGGAATTCCCGCTCTCGCTGCACCTGTCAAGTGCACTTTCTAAAGCGTGACTCATACTATTACTGATGAAGAGTTAAAAAAGTCTGGAATGCCATTCTAGGAAACTGTCCACTTTATCAGCAGCGAGAGATATCTGCGATAATTTTCAGGTGACTTTTGTGTTTGTAGTCGGTGGGATGGCAGATAAGAGTCTGGCCTGGTTTATAGCTTCGTTGTATTACAATGTTTGTATATGTAGAGTTACCTGAAGAGTAATAAATTAATAAAAGATACTAATTTATGCACATTCTTTTGAATATATCGCTGGACTCATAAATCTGGACTCATAATAATAAATTACATTTTTATTTAATTTTAGCCCTTAGTTAATTATTGATTGGTACTCATTACGTATGATAACACAAGTATGCTAAACTATGTTGAAAACAGATTACACTGGAAAATGTTAAATTATATAATTATACACTTATTGGAACAATAACATTTGCAATATTTCTTTAATAAATTTCTTTTCTTGCTTTAAACATATTGTTACATAGTAATTATTTTTTTCTTTTTGTTAATTATGTATAAGGTATAAATTACATTAGGAGTATGTCAACACATGTATGTATATTGAAAGATAACAGATGTAAAGTCTATTAGGAACATGTTACTATGTGAAAAATATTTAAATGGTAGCTACTTTAATAAAATAAGTAACTACTACTTATACCAAGCTTTATGCGAGTTATTGAAAAAAAAATATATATATAAACACATTTTTCAATAACACAAAATGTTGTTCGTTGCATTGATAAGAGTAATATTCCTCTAGGATGATGGAGGAACCACTGAGTCAAGGTGCCTCACCGTCTAGCGATGGCAACTTTTCAGCAGGCGGTGGCGGGGAAATCAATTCAACTACTGTAGTCAATCTA